ATATAATGAGATATCTGTTGATGATCATTCAGAAAGATAACATTTTTTGGTAATTTTAATTTACACATTGTAAATAACTTCAAGTGATCAGCATTTTTTATTATCTAGCTGTTGGTTATATATTTTCACGTTTTGTTGTATTTTCACAAGGTATTGTAGCACTCTAACTGACGGAATTTCCACCTGTAGCAATCTTTGAAAGACAGCTAAATAACAGTAATTCAACTGGATCACTGACCATCTAAAGAGACTGTATTCGTAGGAAAGTGTTTCCAAGTCGTTCTGATGACGGACCTGTCGTGGCTTATTGGTTAACGCGCCGGGCTGCAGGCCACAAGGCCGAAGGTTCGAGCCATGATGCCACTGAACATTCCGCACTTTCAGCTGTGGGCGCTTAAAGATAAGTGACAGTGAATCCTGTTATTTGGTTCAAAGAGCCAGACAAATTTTTTATGATGGCATGTACTGTTCACTGTTGCCATCCTCTGGTAAATAGTTCCAAATTTTGGATGGCTGCACTTGAACTCAAGGGACCTGACCATTTAGGTTGAGAATTCCGATTCCATTATGAGATAAAGGTAAAATAAAATAAAGTAAGATTGTTTTCCTATAGTGTCTGCCTCCGGGGAAAGGGGAGAGATCGTGTAAGTTAGTGTTTGTTTGTTTATTTTGAATTTCGCGCAAAGCTACACGAGGGCTATCTGCGCTAGCCGTCCCTAATTTAACAGTGTAAGACTAGATGGAAGGCAGCTAGTCATCACCACTCACCGCCAACGAATAGTGGGATTGACCGCCCCCACGGCTGAAAGGGCGAACATGTTTGGTGTGACGGGATTCGAACCCGGTAAGTTAGTGATGCTAAAGGTTTTACGTTTAATATTAAAATGTTGGAACTTCGTTAAACGCCACAAAATAGTTTTTTAGATTTAAGATCAGATTATACAAGCTTCTAATTGCAAGTATTTAACAAAACTTTGGAATAACAGAACTAGAACTCCGTCCTAAGACTTTTTGGTTAGTAAAGTAATTAATACCACGTACTAGAACATTGTACATTGGTAATATTTCATCCTTCTGTATTATTAATTGTGTATTTACAGTAGTTTATAAAAAAGAAATATCCAGCAAAAATGAAACAGACAGTCGTGGTTTCAATCTTTCAATGAATTTTGCTTTTGATTTAGCTTTGTATTCATTTTTTTTATAAACGGATTTTCTACTCTTCTGGGAACTTCATACCTATATCATGTAACAGTCTGGAAGTATACAAGGATTCTATTGGTGAGAGTAAATTAAGAGTCTAAGTAAAACGTGAAAGGATGCTGTACATATTGAATATATATTTATATATTCTTTTTCGGATTGTTACTTTGGTAGGGGTCATCTGAATGCAACGATCGTTTGTTTGTAATTAAGCACAAAGCTACACAATGGGCTGTCTGTGCTCTGCCCACCACGGGTATCGAAACCCGGTTTCTAGCAGTATAAGTCCGGAGACATACCGCTGTGCCACTGGGGGGCCTGAATGCAATGAAAATCCATGTTTAGCATGTTCTGTTAACATAATATGTTAACTTATTTTATTTGAACACTGATATTTAAAAAATTCTGACACAAACTTTAACATTTATTTTTCAGAAGCTTTCCTAATTTTTCTTTTCCCCATTAATGAAAGGTCCGGCCACTGAGATAGATGGTTTGGGTTATATTGGTTTTTCTTGAAAATTGTCTACTTTTATGAAATTACAGATGGTTGAGAACCTTCTAGTAAAACGATTTTGAATATGTAAATCAGTAAGACACATGATAACCACAGTCCATATGAAGTCGTGGTGGAAAGAATTGTATAAGAACAACATTTTCACATTGTTTGGTGTTTCGTATTTAGGTGGTGTGATGCTATTGAAAATTGATCGCTTTTGGAAAGAGTATGTAACAGGCGTTTTCTACGCACAATATTCATAAACTCACGTCATAAATATGTGTTTAGATCAGGGCTTTAGTGTTCTCAAAAAATAGATATCTATTGTACTTAATATCATTGAAAAACAAAAGATTATTTGGACTAAATTAGAGCACCAGGACCAGCTGCAGCATGTCGTACCTCGGGCGTCGTTAGCGAGTGCAGAGTATTTTAAATTGCGGTAACTGCGAGATTTTGGTTACGAAGAATGTGTAGATTGCGGTCAATGCAAGATTTTGGTTACGAAGGCTTGTTACATAGTAGTAAATGTAATATTTGGTTAAGAAGACTGTTTAGCTTGCGGTAAATGTGAGATTTTGGTTACGAAGGCTTGTTACATAGTAGTAAATGTAATATTTTGGTTATTACAAAAACTGCTTAGATTGTGGTAAATCTGAGATTTTGGTCAAGAAAGCTGTTTGTATTGGAGTAATTGAGATTTTGGTTACGAAGGCTTGTTATATAGTAGTAAATGTAAAATTTTGGTTATTACAAAAACTGCTTAGATTGTGGTAAATCTGAGATTTTGGTCAAGAAAACTGTTTGGATTGCAGTAATTGAGATTTTGGTTACGAAGGCTTGTTACATTGTTGTATGTATGAGATTTTGGTTACGAAGACTGTTTAGATTGAAGTAACTGCGAGAGTTTGGTTACAAAGACTTGTGGGATTTTAGTTACGAAGAGTGTTTAGATTGAGGTAACTGCGAGATTTTGGTTGCAAAGACTTTAAATTGCGGTAAATGTCAGATTTTTGTCAATAGTTAATGATTTTCATTTGTTAGATACAACACGTCAGATTTTTTTTTTTCTTTGTTAGCTACGTGATCTAGACAACATTGTTACTCACGTATGTCGATGGGAAGCTAGTGGAAGCCAGATAAAAATGTAATATTATAAATATGGAATTAACTTGTGATTCAAATTTCTCTAACTTGCTTTGCGCACAGTCTATCAATAAGTGAATAGATACCCACTTCATAAAGAATGTGATTTATTAAATTAACAAACATAAAACAAAGGATGCAAGTTTACCATTAGTATTTAATGGATTTAAGTTTTGCAACACCTGGAGAAGAACTTTCCTGAGATTGTCTCCAGAAGTTGGATGTTTGGCTTCACAGGGACGATCAAAGATGGAACACATCTAGTAGTCAATAAAATTCATATCCGGCGACTGGCCAGACCACAGGAGTGGTAATACCCTGACCTTCAAGCCATTATTTTGTGACTGGGGTTGAATAAACAGGAGCTCCATCTCACACGAAAATGCCCCCCCCCCCCCACGGTGGCACAGCGGTATGTCTGCGGACTTACAACGCTAGAAACCGGGTTTCGATACCCGTGGTGGGCAGAGCACAGATAGCCCATTGTGTAGCTTTGTGCTTAACTTCAAACAAACCCACGAAAACACTGTCATACATGGTCAATGGCGTTTGAAAGTAAAAGGTGAGAATTTGATGTATCGAGCAGGAGTGACAGAACCATAGTATACTACCATCCATAGGCCAAATGGTCAGCCACACCGTAAAAAACATATTACACAGAGTGAACATGGCTACTGCACCTTTTTGAAGTGTTTCCTTGCATATTGCACTAATTAATATGGCTATTGTTTCTTTTTGGTGTATTTCTTTGCATATTGCACAAACTAAGTATGGCAACTGTTTCTTTTTGGAGTATTTCTTTGCATATTACACAGAGCAAGTATGGCTACTGATTCTTTTTGATGTGTTTCCTTCTATACTGCACCGATTAAGTATGTTTGTTCTTTCTCTTTGGTGTGATTATTTCTGCATTATTGATACTAAATATGGCTACCGTTTCTGTATGTTGTATTCCTCGTTTACTCGTCGCTGTTTATTAATCTTTAAAAAAGTAATCTATCTAAATAAAGTGCGATTTTACTATCAAAAGCCCGGCATGGCCAGGCGGTTAGGGCCCCGGCATGGCCAGGTGGTTAGGGCGCTCGACTCGCAATCTGCGGGTTCGAATCCCCGTCCCACCAAACATGCTCGCCCTTTCAGCCGTGTGGGCGTTATAATGTGACGGTCAATCCCACTATTCGTTGGTAAAAGAGTAGCCCAAGAGTTGGCGGTGGGTGGTGATGACTAGCTGCCTTTCCTCTAGTCTTACGCTGCTAAATTAGGGACGACTAGCGTAGATAGCCCTCGTGTAGCTTTGCGCGAAATTCAAAAACAAAAACAAACAATACTATCAAAATAACTGTAAACTAGGATGTGCGTGAAATGGGTTTATTTGTGGACCATGATTCTATTCAAAGTCAGGTTTCATCAGTAATCTGTGTCACAAGCAGTTTAGGTGTTGTTCTCTGTAACTTTATTTATTCTCCATTGTTAATTTCTGGTAGAACCAGTTTATGTATTGGTAAGATGGCATTTAGAGCTTTCATTGGTAATCTTTTCTCAAGCAATTTAGATATTGGTTTCTGTAGCTTGATTCAATATTCATCAGCAATCTCTGCTAGAAGAAGTTTAGGTATTGATCTCTGTAGCTTGATTCAATATTCATCAGTAATCTCTGCTAAAAGAAGTTTAGATATTGGTTTCTGTAGCTTGATTCAATATTCATCAGCAATCTCTGCTAGAAGAAGTTTAGGTATTAGTTTCTGTAGCTTGATTCAATATTCATCAGCAATCTCTGCTAGAAGAAGTTTAGGTATTGGTCTCTGTAGCTTGATTCAATGTTCATCAGTAATCTCTGCTAGAAGAAGTTTAGGTACTGGTCTCTGTAGCTTGATTCAATGTTCATCAGTAATCTCTGCTAGAAGAAGTTTAGGTACTGGTCTCTGTAGCTTGATTTAATGTTCATCAGTAATCTCTGCTAGAAGAAGTTTAGGTATTGATTCATCTAACTTCATATAATTTTCATCAGTAATCCCTTTCACCGATAGTTTAGGTGTTGAATAATTTAGGTATAGGGCGTTTAGTGTCGGAACACAAAATGAATGTGTTTCTTGTAAAGTAGGTTATGTTTTATTGTAATCTTGTACCTCTTGCCCATTCGTGGCCAAGTCTCAAGATTGAGGGATTGTAATGCGATGGGCCCAGCATAGATAGCCCATAGTTTCGTTTTGTGCTTAAACAAACAAACTATTCTATCTCATCGCTCTAGTGAATGACTGTATAGAAAAATAAGCTCTGTCATGTTTCCAGTGTCCTTATCAGTACAGCAGTTTTCTGTGTTAAATCTAGAGAAATCTTGTCACACACTTCTTTGGTAGGCTAAAGATAAACGTTTTATGAATCTTGAGATTGATCTAAACTTATCAGTGATCTGGTTGCGTTTGTCTTTTGCATCACAACACTTCAGAACAAACACGTGCGATTCAGTTCGTCGTACTGTAAGTATACCGTCTCTAATACACATACACATATATTTATGAGATATAGTGTCATTTATCATTATTGTGGAACAGATTTTTCGCAATAACGAAAACTTACGTAGAAGTTGTAAGAAAAGTTTGGTCGTTATAAAACAATTTTTCACTATTACGAAATTTAAATAACTAAAAAAGCTATTTTTCTCTGTTATATTGAAATACCTTTAGTTACTAAACTATTTTTCGCCACTACGTAATTCGAGTTCAGTAGAGTACTTTGGGCGAAATTTCAAACAGCACAACATTCCATTGAGCCGCGTCCCAGAAGCCTCCGCTGTAAGATCTCTCTACCCAAGCATCTCGCGCAGAAATGTCAAGTTAGTGTGGCCAAAAATGTTGTGTCAGGAATGCAACCTCTAATTTTTTACTTTTAAAATAATGGGAAAAGCGTTTTCGATTTACGTTTTTTCGTTGTGCGCTACGTTCTCCAAGAACCCCTTTCGTGAAACGAGGATACCTGTATCACAGTGACTTTATTGTTATAAGTAGTACAGTAATCTATCTGTATCTAAATCTGATTTCAGCAGTAGAAATGTTTTATTGTTAAAAATAGTACAGTAATCTATATCTAAATCTGATTTCAGCAGTAGAAATGTTTTGTTAAAAATAGTACAGTAATCTATATCTAAATCTGATTTCAGCAGTAGAAATGTTTTATTGTTAAAAATAGTACAGTAATCTATATCTAAATCTGATTTCAGCAGTAGAAATGTTTTATTGTTAAAAATAGTACAGTAATCTATATCTAAATCTGATTTCAGCAGTAGAAATGTTTTATTGTTAAAAATAGTACAGTAATCTATATCTAAATCTGATTTCAGCAGTAGAAATGTTTTTATTGTTATAAGAGACACAGTGACCTGTCTTTAAACGTGATCCTAACAATAGGAATGACACAATGACTTGTTTATAAATATGATCTAAACAATATAAATGTTTCCCACGATTACAAGTAACACAGTGACCTGATTTCTCATTCAATTCATAGAACAACAATGAGCCCCAGATGTGATTGTCAGTCTTAACATTTTATTGGCAACAGCTTTGAAATTACAGTGAAACTGGAATTTGTACAGTTTTCAGAACAAATATATATATATATATATATATAAATAAAAAAATTAGTTTTAAGAGCACAGAGACAAACAAACTTAATCAACAATTACAGAACTGCTAGCACAACTAAACCCATTATCTTATAATGAGCTGTCACTTGTGAGTGGGAGAGAGAGAAAGAAAAAAAAAGCTCGTCCCAGATTGGCCTTTACGAAAAGCTCTTGCACCAGCATTTTAAAAAATACAATTATATATTGAGGCACACCATATTTCGCTCATGTTTTGGTTGTTTAGGCAAGAATCTCTATCCACGCATTTAAAAGTTTATATTGTATATGAGAAACTGTATAATAAGGTGCTCGTATTCACACAGTACAGTAGTATGGATATGCGTATGTATGTAACTAGGAATAATTTAAAATGTTAAGATTAAACCTGACATAAGCGGTATTTATAGTATTGTTTTTATTCGTAAGGAGGAGGAGGAGTCGCTTCTATAAATACTCCTGCTCTGTGCCGGACATAGACGGTCCTTATTCCTTTCAGTGATTTTTGTTATAACGAGTAAAGTGTTTCGTTTTTTAGGAAAAGGCTCTAAAAGCTTAGATTAATCAGGTTGCTGTTAGTTTTTTGTTTACATAGAAAAGTAAGAATAGTTGAATAGAAACCAACTAAATTTAAGGGCTCGGGTCTTTCAAATGAAGAATAATAAAATGTTATTATTAGAACTTGAAATTTTAAAATAACTGCTTTTTTTAGGTTATGAAAAGCGTGTTGTTTAAAGTGTCAGTTTTATTAACTGTACCTCGACTTTATAACGTTAGATTGGAAAGGTGTAATAATAGTTTTACACTGTCGTCATTCTACAGTGAAAGCTATAAACATAGAAAGTAAATATAATGAAAATTTACTGAATATGCGATTTTCAGCCTACAGAGAATTTATAATTATTTTCCCCCTACAAGTCCCATTGTTTCTTGTATTGAGGTCACGATAGTTTTTGAAAATATGAGTTCATGCAATTAATTTTGATTGATTTTACTGAAAGATAAAAGAACAAAGAACCGCATTTGCTAGTCATCATTACGTCAATGTACCACAAAATGTGCATGTTATCTAACTAGAATGTTTTGATCGCAAATAAAAAATACTATTTTGTGTGTGGAATAAGTTTCTTCTTTTATTTCGGATTCGTATGAAAATATTGTAAAACTACTAAAGATGTCAACAACGAAAACCCATTTTGTTTCCTAGAAATATTATCAAGGACAGATATCTGGGTACTGTCTCTTAAAGAAATAAAGTTCCGTATAATATATATATATATTAGAGATTCTTCTCACAGTGTAGTTTACTTGCTGGAATCTGTTGTACTTGTTTTATCAAATTAACGCAAAGCGTTCTTGCGCTCACTAGAATTATGAATAAAGATTTGAAAACTTCGAAACGTTAGAGACGTATCTATATACCAACTTTCTTCAGGAAAACAAAACACAACAACAACTGACCTATGAGATGTCAAACGCGCATATATAATGATGTTTGTAAAAAGTAACTTGCTTTCAAATTTAATGATTTTATATCTATATATATATTCGGTCAAATATGCGGCTATTTTTGGTTCTTAATACTTTTTATTTCATTCATTATTTTTCGTGATTGTGACCCATTTTGGCTTTCATAATACGTAATAAGTACTGTGAAATCTTCTATTTAACCTCATATGGCCTTCTTAGAAGAGGTGCTTCAGTATAAACATCGCTTTTTAAATTTCTGTCAAAATATAAATACCTCTTCTAGTTTTTTCTACCAAAATAGATATTAGTCGAAAGTAGGTTATTCATTTGGAAGCAGCAAGTTGTTGTTTTTGGACTAAAATATAATTACATTAAATTAAATATTTTAATCAGTGTGTAGTGAAAACTCAAAGTCCCGCCTGCCATTACAAAAAAAAAAGTGTTGAATAGTGTTGCTTTTGGTGTTTTACTGTACTCTCTTTAACTTGTTGAATAATGTTGATTTTAGTGTGTTACTGTCCACTATTTAATCGGTTGAATAGCGTTGCTTTTCATGTTCTACTGTGTACTGTTTAGTAGGTTGAATAGTGTTATTTTATTGTTTTACCGTGCACTGTTTAGTCTTTTGAATAGTGTTGCTTTTAGTGTTTTACTGTACTCTGTGTATATGGTTGAATAATGTTGATTTTAGTGTTCTACTGTACACCGTTTAATGGGATAAAAAGTTAAGATACTGTGTAAATTTAACAGGTACACAGAAAATGTTTCTTGATATCGCACTTTTTTGTTTTATGTTAGTTTCAACTGACTTTCGTCAAATGTTATAAGATGTTACTGGCATTTGTTTTTGCTTGCGAGAATAATGCTCATGTGCGTTACGAGCTAGACATTACGAGCGTCCCTTAATTGGTTACGTCTGTACGAGCTTAACAAACATGATTATGAAACAGAAAAATGTTTCATTTCCATAAAATCAATTTACACTGTCTATTTCTTCTATGGCCAATCTGAGACGCTAGGTATGAAACATGTTTAAACTGAGCCATGTTACCGATATGTACATTCATTGCAGCATGTAGTTGTGAAATCACGTAGTCACAGAGTGTTTTTATTGAATGCAACTTTGCTTACCATAGTAACTCACATATAACAAGAGTACAAAAAGAAGACAGAAAAAAAACAACAAATATAATGCATATCTTATTTTGACAAAAAGGAAGGGTTTTTTTTCCGCTGTTTTAATTTACTATTATACTATGATGTAGAAGATTCAATCCATAACATTTTGAGCACTATTTTTCACAATTTTAAGAATCTGGCAGGGATAAAGTACTTGACAAACGTGTAACTGCACAGTTGAGCGACCATATGTCAGCCTTCAGGTATTATTATAATACGTGAAGATTGTTCAGGCCTGGGATTGCTAACTGCATCTATATGAATTATTCATCTTATTGCTGAAAATAAGCAACAGCTATATATATACATATTCTTAATGTTTATATAACAAAATTCAAAATTAGCTTTACCTTTTAACGCTTGGCTTCCTTAAAACATTCGCATAATTATTATTTTATTATAGTATTTGTCGACGCACTACCTTTAACCCCTTTTATTTGCCCCTAAGAGCATAGTGACCTTTACTCTGTTAGTTCCCTTATCCGTCAAAATGTCTGATCTAGAAGAGATATTGGTTAACACTGCAGTTGTATTTAACCCCTTTGGTTTTTATCCCTAAGGGCATATTAACTTTTGACATGTCAGTTCCTCTTCCATGAAAATGGCTGCTCTAAAATGAGATGTTGGTCAACATTCCAGTTTTAACTCGACCAAGAACACGTGATGTGATTATTTTGGCTTTATGTAAGTTGGTTAGATTCCTTAGTAAGTAGATAAGCTTTTCAGTGCGCTAAAAAAAAAAAGTTCCGTTGGTTACTAGGCAACAAAAGAGGTTAAATGTAAGCGTATAAACCCACAAAAGAGCCGTTCTCTACAACAGTTGTAACTTCCATTGACCTAAGTTCACTCTTTTTATTTAAAGTTGAGTTTCTCAGTTTGACGTAATATTGAAATTGTTATATAATTTGCCCTTCTAGGTAGTTAATGTTATTGAGTATTCAATTTATTATGCTAAGGGCATATTTTATCGTTTGTTTATTTACCAAAAAAGTAATAATATCTTGTCAATGAGTATTAGGATAAATATTAGTTTCTACGATGGACAGATTTTCTTAAACAATTGAAAGTTCTTTTAATAAAATTTTATGAATTATTCATGAATAATTCTAAAGATAGGTCAAATAAGAAAAAAAGAAACTTACATGTTTTACCACAAAAACTATTAGAAAATTCTAGTAGTCGGTGTATCTAGAAATATCTAGGTCAGACTTGGCTATAAGGTTGTCACAGATATCTCTTGAAACATTAATATTGAGTTATCAAAAGATGCTATAGAAGCAGAGAATCGTATCTAAGAGATTGTCTAAAATGGTGTAAGGATTTCAAAAGAAGCTTACACATATTTGGCACTCATTAAATATGATTTCAAACAAGAACACCATTCAAGGCAAACAGAGAGAAAGGATAAACATCGTAAAAATGTAAAATTCAGCACAAAGCGTTTAAATGCTCGATGGCGACGTCAAATGTATTATTAGTAAGTTTGGAAAAATATGACACATTTTATTAAGGAAAGATAAAGCGACATGAATCAAAGGAATATCCAATGCGAAGAGTTTCTATACATTCTTACTGGAGACCCTCAAAAGAAGCCATTATTTTGAGGTAAGATAAATACACATACGTTCTTCAGGAAAAAGGATCACTTGTATAACTCATAATTTAATATGATAGACTTACAACTAATGTTTCGTTTTCTTATATTTTAATTGTAGTAAGGTTTACTATGTCTCACTAATATAAGATATCGAATATATTTGGAATTCAATACCTTTCAAAAGTTGGAACAACCACTAATTTCCTACCGTTAAAAGTATAAATTCATGCTACACAGTCATGCGCAACTCCAACTATTTGAACCTTGAAAAGTTTAGTATTTTAATATTTCCCAAGTACAATTGTACTAACCTATCTTTAAGCATGGCGATTTGTGAAAACATTAACTCTATTGTTTAAAAGGCTAACTTTTGATCTTTATTTTACACGAACTTCTGTAAGCTAGATTTTTCACCATCCTGCCATGTAAACAGGAATGAAGTTACTCATTGTACCTGGAAAATATACAACGGTTGTATTATAAAAGTTCTAGTCATTAAGTAAATTACTTTGTTTTAGAAGGAAGCCTTAGATGGGTTTGGTGCTATTGTACACTAAGAAGAATCTTGCTTCATTCACATGTCAAAATATCTGCATTTTAATACGTTATTCTTTTTGAGACATTTTTAATCTACACTAGCTCAAAAATGACTCAATTTTCTAAGACCTAAGGTTTTGTGGATCAATACCTTACATTCTGTTTTAATGACATACAACCTAATTGGTCAAGCCTAAAATCCTTTATAAAACCATATACTGTTAGCAGCCTCAATTCTGGGTTTTCAGCATATCACATATCTTCAAACAGATTCAAGTTATAATGAGATCCAATCTATTCACTAATCAGATAAAACGCAATTGTTCCACCACAACATACACTATCTGTGTACATATGTACACAGGAAGGCAGAGCACCATGTGGGTGAGGGGTCATAATTGAAATCCTATATAACATAAACAGAGTTTGAAACAGTATGCAGAGAATTATACACAAAGGTTATTTTTAGATAACCATTCTGACTCGTTGGTTTCATATTCTACAGCAAGTGTGTGCTTTCCAACTATTGTCAGTGGTATCGTTACATTTTGAATACCGATTTTTTATCATGCAAAAAATATAAATAGCTGCCTTAAAATTGCAACTGGTTTATAGAATTTTTATTAACTTTGCAATAGATATTTGATCAGATATCTGGATCACACACTTAGTTGTCTCATCTGTAATACATTAAATTAGGTCAACTTTTCATGCTATATAAAAAGTACAGCTTAACTTTCGTCATTCCTCGCAAATGCTCTTTCCGATATTTTCCCTATCTTGCTTACTATAAGTTAAATAGCACGTGAGACGACTAACAGTCCTGAAACCTAATTATCACAACCATAATTTACACCTGAATCACAATGTGGACACCTACCGCTCTGACCTGCAACGTATTGGAAGTATGGAGACAGTTCAGTCAATCATCGAGATACAATAATTGTTTGTAAGGTCTATAGAACCACTTCACGTTAGAGTGCTGATATACGCACCACGGGTTCTTGAGATGGGTGTGTTTCAGCATACATGAGTCCTGCACCTAAGTTAGAATTTTCTGTTGGCATTGCAATAACTGTTGTGGTGACGTTACTTCCACCACCTGGCGGTGTATTTACTGTTGTAACCAGAGGAGTAGGATTGTTGAGACTAGAACGAGACATGGAGACAACATGGTGTTGGCGATGGTCAGCGGAAGTGGGCGTTCTATTGGACATTCGAACTTGAATGTCATTTAATTCTTCCTCTTGTTCCGTGGTTGCAATTTCCTTGTGCTGCTGTCGAGAAAATAGTCAGATTCTGTTTTAAGCGAATGTTAAACTTAAAATACAGACAGCTGTTCTAAATATGATAGGTGAGAATACTTCAAATAACAATCTATATGTACAAGACCATGACATCTTTCTAAACACTTGTAACAATAATAATATTAAGATTTATATAAATTGGATAACAATCAACATTTTTATGCCAATAATTTTGTGTTACCAACTAAAATTTGATCGGACATCTCGATCAAGGATCTTAAAATATGATATAAAATGTTGATTTGAGAAAATAATATTTCTCTCTCTCTCTTTTCGTTCAGAGTTGAAATAAATGGTCTTTGGATATCCCCGGCAGTAAATGTATCCCAGCATGTAAATATACGAATAGTGAAGGAGGGTGGCCACCTGGTAATACTCATGAACACTTGTCCGTAAAGAATACTTTGAATGAACCCGATTTTATGATAGTATAGCACTATGTATGAAATAATGAAGTCTCTGATAAACTAGATTTAATAAAACAAGGGAAGAAATATTTTCTCCTTGTTCATGTTATTCGTAAAAAGCAAACAGCAACAAATTTGTCAAATTGATACGTGTAACGCAGAAAGTTTTTCAGTGTCTCTTGACATTCCAAGAAAGAGGTAATGTAACTACTACCACGAACCAGAAAGTTCCTGTAGCAAGTAACACTACTCGGGAAGAAATCACAATACACAGTTTACGGTTTTGTGAATTGATTTTAATACATACTCTGAAACACGACCATTGGAAAACTTTATCTGTTGGTTATGTTAAGCGATACTGCACGATTATAACCACCGAGGGAGTAATTATATTTAAGTTTGATATAATTTAATGTTACATTTCTTTTATTTTTATAGATAGTCTTAAACGCACTGAAACAAAGCGTACAAAATTATCTATACGAGAAACATTTCGTATTTATTACTACAAACATTTAATAAGAAAACAATCACTTATTTCTAAACAAAAAATGAATTAAATGTATTGTTATTATGTCTTAAAAGTAATAATTTTGGAAGAAACCAAGTAATTCCAAGAAAACACAATAAAATATGTTTTTTAATTTACTAAATATGGAAAAATATCTTTTTTTTTTACTACCAACTCTCAAACATTTCTTCGCTGCCTTTGAATAAATAGTTTCTAAGCATTTGTAATTAGGTTACTTCAGCTTCTGTCTTCCTATTTTGAAGTCCAAAAATCTCTGGATCGTTATCCCTAACGTTAATATTATTTGTGTGTAGATGAACCATTATCCTGTGTAAAGGTTTTCGTTCATTTGGAGTTAGAATTATGAAACATCACAAACAAACTGCGGATTACTTATGCTAAAAAACTGTTATATGTGAAATTCATACATTGTAATTTGAATTTGCTCGCCAATTTGTTTGTAAACAGATTATGAGACTGTGCATGTAAATAAAATACCGAAACGATTCGATCAACTAGTAGAATTAAACATATAATTGTTTAAAGCCAATTTGTATTTTCATGGTACATAAAAGTTATGTCTGACATGGGATGGTGGGTAGGGCGCTCGTTTCCCAATTTAAGGGTCGCGGGTTCGAATCCGCGTCACGCCGAACAAGCTCGCCTTTTTAGCGTTGGGGGCGTTGTAATGCGACGGTTAATTCGTTGGTAAAAGAATTAGCGGTGGGCGGTGTTGATTAGCTGCCTTCTAGTCTATCACTG